GCCTCTGGCATCCCAAAGTGGGATGAACTTGGTCTAGACTGAGGCGCAGTTTTCTTCCACTCTCTGCTTGGGGAATTCCAGTATACTCCAGAGATGGCACGAGCCTGTGAGGGTCATCTCTAATGGTCTGTGATCTGGTCCCAACCTCCAGGAGCCAATGAGGATGCATGTTGTAGAGCCCAACCACACCCTTCACAGCAGGGTGGGAAGAGATGAGGTGGGAAGGGGGGGAAGGTGTCCTCATCAGGTTCATTAGGTCAGTCATTTACCCCAGGGGTCACAAGACACAGACAGAGCGTTAACAGACATTTCACTTTGACCACACTCTACTCTTGGCCACTTTTGAATTTATGGACTCCAAACTGGGGAAGTCAAGGGAGGGCCTTAGGCTCTCACACTTTGATAGGGAAGAGTGAGAGCAGAAAGTCTGCTCTTGCTTTCAAGGTCAAGCTTGTGGGGGACCAGAGAAGAGGCAGGGAGAGAGCCAGAGCACCCAGCACATATACCAGCCAGCATCCCTTGTGTGTGTGTGTGTGTGTGTGTGTGTGTGTGTGTGTGTGTGTGAGAGAGAGAGAGAGAGAGAGAGAGAGAGAGAGAGAGAGGGGAGAGTGAGCAAGAGAGAGAGAGACACCAGTGCACACAATGGTGTACATTGCCAGCAGTCAGCTGTGGGCACCCCCATCATGGGCTGGGTGTATTTTCATAAATGCAGAGTTAACAAGGGATCTTAGAACTTGGCAATCACCTCATCCTGCTTCCTTCCCAGTGTAGGAATCTGGCTGCAACATTCCTGGCAGGAGGTCATCCCGTTCCTGCTGAATTACTCTAGTGACCAGGAGCTTGCTACTAACAGGGTAGCCCCGTCCACTGTGGGTTAGTCTTAAGTGTTACAGAGTTTTCACCCTGAGCTGAAATCTACATCCCATCCATTACCTTCTTATCCATCTTGGTTCTGGGCTAGAAGAAATCAACATCTTCTCCATGGTAACATTTCAAATATTTAAAGAGAGCCTACATGTCCCCCCTCCTCTCTTTTCTTGACACAGTATCTTCACTTCGTCGTATGACATGGTTTCCAGATCCTGCTGGCCTGTCCCCTGGGTGACCTAGCTAAGAGATGCCCCCAGAACTGAACCCTGTACTTGGTTCTTGATCCAAAACAACAGAGTTTAAGGGGAAGAATTCCATCAGCGCATCAGTGTACGTTTACTTTTTTTTTTTTTTTTTCTTTTTTACCAGCCATATCATAGCCTTGGCTTATACTAAGCTTCAGTCAGCCAGTCCCCTTCAGGGATTTTAAAGATATAGTCAAGGCTTTCTAGTCACTCTCCCTGGCTTTCACTCTGTGGCTGATTTTTTCCCATGAACCTTGCTATAGGATCTTAAATTCATCCCGAATATATTCCAGTTTGGGCCTTTTATCTCAACTTACTGAGGTTTTACTGAATCTCATTCAGTCATGTCATATTCTAGCAACTCCCCCCCCCTCAGTTTTGTGTCCCCTATAACTTTTATCAGTGCACATTTTAATCTCCATGCAAATTTCCGCTGTAGGAGAGGCAGGAGCAAGGCCCTAGAAAATACCACTGTGTTCACGCTGATTATCCCACAGTTCTCCCAGGCACCATTAGTCATCACATTGTGACCCCACCTAACTGCACATTCACCAGCCTACACTTCTTCCTCTCATCCACAAATGTTTAATAGGGGACATTTCTTTAGCCAAGAGGAATGATTCCATGACTTCAGCTACTGACACAGGCTATTACACGAGGTACTTCAGAGAAACTTCTCAGCATCCCACAAATACCCCCTGTAAGGTGGGCCAGGCAGCTCCCTACCCATCAGGCCAGCTCTGACAGTAAACATGAGCTTTAGCTACAAAGTCTTAGATGCAGTGGTAACCCTCAAAAGTTCTCCTCAGACATCTTGAGATGAGGGCCCTTTCATGACCTACATTCAGCCGGTATCAGAAGGAAGAGGTTACAGGGGGCTGCTCATCAGTTGAAAGTTTCCTCAGTGTCTGTGGCTGGACAAGAAAGCTCCCAGTCTGGCTCGTGGTAACCAGCCTGATTGTACGACAGCAAGAGGGAGGACTTCTAGGAAGATGGAAAGTGTGGAACGCTTCAAACCAGTCATTCCCCAGGTAGTCCTCTCTAGGTTACTATAAACTTATTTAGGGTCTAGGTTCCCTGCCTCGGAATGATCCTCGGGGCTTTTTAAAGGCATGCATCTCGTCTTCTCAGGCTGTAAGGGCAGGAGGACAAGGGCCATGTTTTCTTTCCCTAAGGGTATGTATGGCAGACCATGCTGTGTGTGCACCAGGCACCCAACGAATGTCCAGAATAAAGGTAGGTACTGAGCTTTTGTGATGGACTGTTAGCGCTTCCAAAATAAAAAAGTACTCCTTGATATATTTTGGGGGTTCACTTCTCTGCCTATTCTACCCAGTCAAGTTTCTGCTTTCTCTGTGAGCCAGTTTCAACAGACACTTCTCTGTTGGAGTGCCACTCGTAGAGATCTTTTCCAGAATCGTTTTTTTCTAGTGGCAGATGAGTCTTTTCATTCCCCAACCCCAAACCCACTGACATTTTGGCTCACCTTCTTTTTATTCAAGCTATCAATGACTTTCTTACGCCCAGAAGCCCGGATCTTCATTTGGCAATCCAAATGTATTATCCTGAGGTTCTTGGCTAAACAGGAGCCCATGAAAGATGTTGTAGGGGCCCCTGGGTGGCTCGGTTGGTTAAGCATCCAACTTCAGCTCAGGTCATGATCTCACGGCTCGTGAGTTCGAGCCCTGCGTCAGGCTCTGTGCTGACAGCTCAGAGCCCGGAGCCTGCTTCGGATTCTGTGTCTCCCTCTCTCTCTCTGCCCCTCCCCTGCTCACGCTCTGTCTCTGTCTCTCAAAAATGAATAAATGTTAAAAAAGATAAAACTAAAATAAAGATGTTATCAATAAAATAAAGATGTTATAAATAAGCTCATATATCTATTAAGCATCTATTAAGATGCTATGAAGGGATGATTTGCTTCTATGTGCTGCTTATCACTGTTTCCTTTGATGTTTTATCCTGGGAGATTCTTCACTTTGGGGGATCACAATCTTTGGTATGCATTCCTAGGAAGAAGAAAATTGGGGGGTTGGAGACACTGTCCCCATCAGGTTCCTGGCACTATTTCTACTGGATACAACGGTGAATTAGCTATATCCCTTCCCCCCAGGACACATTAGAAAGATGAGCTAGATATAAGTGGGTGCCAACGATTCCGTATGAGGTTACAAGGAGTGGAGAGGGAAGTGTGAAACTAGGCTGGATGAGCCCATCCTCCAAATCAGAGACTTCACAGCAAAGCGAAGTTGCCATTGGTAACTGGGACACTAAAGCACGTCTACTCCTCAACAATCGCTTCTACTTCTCCCAGATAAAACAGCGGCATGTGAAGAGGGTCACATCCTCCTCTGGTCTGATCCTGCCAGCTGAGAGAAAGCTGGAAATCCTTTTGCTATACCGCAGGCTTGGACGAGTTCCCAGTGGACTCAGTGTGTTCTAGGAACATATGAGAAAAGAGCAGGACGGGATGACTCATGAGAGGGAAATGTAAAGACCACAGTCTGGGTAGAACTTCCTCCGGAGCCCAAATAGGGCAATTTCAAGTTGCCTTTCTTCAGCGTGGGTCCTGGGGTCAGCTAGAGGCTAAAGCACAGGGAAGGATCCTTGGCCTGGATTCATGGCAGATCCCAGAGTGCCCTGCGGGTGACGTCCACCACGTCCCTGAGGAGGCTGCCCACTCCTCCTGCCCTCAGCCCCACACACCTTGCACGTAAGGACAGTGCCATAAACATTTACTGATTTTGTTGTTTGGGTGGAGAACTCGTTGAAAAGCTAACTTTGAAATTTAGCCATAAGTGTAGGAGGGTCACAAGTCCTTTGCCATTTCCAAAGGCTGACTTGGGTCAGGCTGGCAACATCAGAATCATCTGAGACAGCTTTAAAAACTAGTCTCCTCCCCTAGTGGGAGATTCTGATTCAGGAGGTCTGGGGTGAGGCCCCAGTATCTGCATTTTAAAAGTGATTCTGACCCCCAGCTCGATTTGGAAACAATGGTCCTTTGGTAGCCAGCCTCCGAGATGGCCCCCCCATAGTCTCCACCTTCTGTATTCACACTCTTGCATAATCTTCTCCCACACTGTGTACATTGATCTGTGTGACCAACAGAATATAGCAGAAATGATGGTATATTGCTCCCAAGATTAGGTTATGAAAGGTTGTAGCTTCCATGTTTTCTCCCTTTCTCTCTTTTCGTTTTGAATCAATCACTCGCTTTGGAGAAGGGCAACCTCCATGTCTTAAGGATACTTAGGCAGCCTATAGAGAGGTTGTGTGCAGAGGATCAGAGGGTTCCAGCTGACAGCCAGAAAGAAACGAAAGCTGGCCAACAGCTGCCTGAGTCAGCTTGGGAGAGGTCACTCCAGCCCCTGGTGACCTCATGAGAGAATCTGATCAGAGTCAACCAGCTAAGCTGCTCATGGATTCCCGACCCTCAGAAACTAAGTGAGCTAACAGAGTCTGTTGTTTGAATCTGCAAAATTTGGGGGGGGGGTGTAATTTGTTACACGGCAACTGATAACTAGTACATTTTCTCAGTGCAAAGGGCAAGCTCCTGGGAAGAGCACAGAAGGGCTTTCATGTGCACCCTTTGTAGCTTCATTTCCCACTACTGTTGGGCAGTACTGACCTATTTATCCCCAGTTGACGCCTCAGCCCCTCTGTGCCCTTACCCAAGCCATTCTGGAATGTGTCTGGAATGCCCTTTCCCCACTGATGGTATCCCCTTCCCCAGAAACCCTCTCCTCAACTTCCCTGCACCAAACCAGGCTGGCTTGGGTCCCCTCTTTCGTGCTCACACACTCCTCTTGGAATCAGTAGGCAAGAACGGAGTTTCATGGAAGAAGGAAAGTATTCACGTGAGGGGGTCATCAAGAGCGCGAGACTTGCCTCTATGTGGTTGACCAACGAATTGTCAAACTTGAAGCCAGGAATCCTTTTGTCACTGCACACCACACCCACGTCTTCTGTGTGCTTGCAGTCGGTGACACCCCAGCCATTGGAGGAGCAAGCTGCGAGGGTGGCCTCTTTGCCAGTGCAGTAGATATTGTCCAACCAGATGGGCCCTGAAGGAAGCAGAGAAGAGAGAGACCAAGCACTGCGTCAAAGGAGGTTTGAGTCTTTGGGGGCACCAACGCCATACACAGGAAGAGAATTTTTCTCTCATTTTGGCAGTTATTGTGGTCATCCATCGATCTTTAGTATGTTTCATATATTGGGTATAGTTCTAGACCATCTGGATTCCCGTTCCAGAGTGGACAGCTGATGTGATCTGAGGATGTGGTAGACTGAATGTGATATGAACAGAAACCAAATTTGAGCCCAGAAGTCATGTGGCGTGGTAGAAAGAGCAGAGATGTTGGATACTAAGCTGGGTTTAATGCTGGCAGAGCCACTTGGCTATATGGCCTTGGTCAAAGCCCCTCTTGTCAGACACCTCAACTGCAGGGCTGTGTATACAGATTAGAGATAATACATGGTGCATGCTTAGTTTATCATTGGCCTGTAGTTACTCAAGCATGGTTACAATAATGACGATGGTGATTTTAGTGATGCTGACTACGGCACAAGCCAGACTCACCTTCCATCCGCAGCGGAGGCTGAACTCTGACCCCTTGCGGAAAATGTAAGCTATCCTGCAACTGAAGGTTTGGGGTTTTTCCAGCATTTTCATGCGTATCACCTCCCCTGACTCTTGGGTGCCTCAAGGCATTAGTATTCCCACCGAACCCAGTGAGGTTCACCCCCTGAACCCAGAACCTGGTCCAGCAAGTGCTCTTCTCACTTCCTGATGTTTCCTAGCCAATGAATCCAAGATGGCCGGGCTAGACCAACCCACAGAGCTGCCTCCTCACGTTCCAGAAGTCAGGCGAACAATCTGCCTGGGGGGCCCTGTGGAATTCTGCTCACCTCCGTGTCTCTACCTGATCTGCACTAAGTAGAGAATTCAGCATGCAAAGTACTAGAGGGTTGGTCACAATGAGACATCACCTCATACCCACTGGAATGGCTACTACCAAAAGGACAGAAAATAGCAAGTGTCAGCAAAGTGGTGGAAAAGCTGGAACCCTCATGCACTAGTGGTTGGCAAAAATGTAAAATGGTGTGGCCACTATGGAAAACAGTATGGCGGCTCCTCAAGAAATTAAAAATGGGAGGTACCGTCTTCCAGTTATAGAATGAGTAAGTCGTGGGGATGAAAGGCACAGCAGGGAATATAGTCAATGGTATTGTAATAGCACTATATGGTGACAGCAGGGAATATAGTCAATGGTATTGTAATAGCAGCTACATTCCTGGTGAGCATAGTGTAATGCAGAGACTTTTCCAGTCCCTATGTTGTAGACCCCAAAATTAATGGAACATTGTGTGTCGGCTACACTTCAATAAATAAATAAATATTTTAAAAATAAAAATGGGATTGCCATGCGATCCAGCAATCCCCACTTCTGGGTATACACCCAAAAGAGCTGAAGGCAGGGTGTCAAAGAGATAGTTGCACACCCACGTGCAATACAGCATTATTCACAATCGTCAAAAGCTGGAAGCAACTCAAGGGTCCATTGACAAATTGTGGTCTATATCCACACTGGGCTATTACTCAGCCTTAAAAAGGAAGGACATTCTAAGACAGGCTGCAACGTGGATGGACCTTCAGGACATTACGCTACGTGAAATAAGCCAGTCACAAAATGACAGAAGCTAGATGATTCCACTTAGATGAGGTCCTTAGAGGAGTCAAGTTCATAAAGACAGACAGTAGAATGGAGGTTGCCAGGGGCTGGGAGAGGGGAGAAGGAGGAGCGGTTGTTGAGTAAGGACTGAGTTTCAGTTCTGCAAGTTAAAAAAGCGTTCAGGAGATTGGTCGTACAACAATATGAAGGTACTAACACTACTGAATTGTACACTGAATTGTGATGAAGACGGCACATTTTTATGTGTATTTTATCACAATTAAAAATAATTTTTTTTAAAGTGCTAAAGGGTTTTCAAATAGTGATTTTCATAAGTACCCCTACAAAATGAAAGGAAACAAAGTCAAATGTCTCCTTTTCCTCATGGCTTCAGGCAGGGCTCTATACTATAAAGGAGCCAGATAACCTGGGCTCAAACTCTCTCTGCCTCGGGCTTGGGCACCACATAACTTGGCCATCTACTTAACCAAACCTGTTTCCCATTTCTAAAGTGGAAACAAGAATCCCCAACAAACAGGTCACCATGGAGATTTGATGAGATAATGTATGTGCCCAGTACGTGCCCAGCCCCCCTTGCCTTCCTCCTTCCAGTAAGTCAGAAAAACAGGGAATCCCGCTGTTTCCACGAGGAAAGGAAAACACAGATAAAAACACTCCCATTATAGAGGCAAGAATATTGAGGAGAATCTGAGGCTCTTCAAGGTCAGAGAGGATGCGGGGCCAGTCCCTGACTCCGGGGACCTTCTGAAATGTGTTCGCTGTGACGGATGGGTGGTCAGGGCCTGAACCAGAGCACCTCAGACACATTGTGGGAAACAACAAGCTTATTGAAAACATCTGGGCTGAGGTTTTCCAACTGGTTTCTCAATTTGGCCTTGCTTCCCAGCCGTCGAACTCCACGGAAACATATGCTCCCTAATCAGTTGCTGCTTCAGCAACAAACCAATGTTTGTCTTGCTAAGTATTAGCAACGGAAAAGACCGTCCGCGTTTGAAGTGGGGCCTCTTCTTTGGAAATTCGGTGGCAAAGCTGCTGAAGGGACAGAGATGGTGAAAGGGAGCAGGGCCCTTATTCCATCTGTGATAAGAGAAACCACCCCGGCTAAGGGGATGGGAAGCAGGACAGCGCAAAGCTAAAAGAACCATTGGGAACTGCAGAACAGGTGCTCTAGGACCTGCTTTACTTTTTGATAAGGAACATGTGAAATTAGCTCCCTGGGGTGCTAAGGGAACTAACTTCCCTCAAAGAGCTGACCCCAAGAGCTGCTTTCTTTTCTTTTCATTTTTGAGAGAGAGAGAGAGAGAGAGAGAGGGAGTGAGCAGGGGAGGGGCAGAGAAAAGGGGACAGAGGATCTGAAGCGGGCTCTGTGCTGACAGCAGCGAGCCCGATGTAGGGCTCAAACTCACAAACTGTGAGATCATGACCTGAGCTGAAAGTCAGACGCTCAACTAACTGAGCCACCCAGGCATCCCAAAGAGCTACCCTTCACTGTCAATAATCCTACGCTTCACATGTTCTCACCAGTTATTTTTTCGTAGATTGTAGAAGTGTAAATTTCTACGTAGCCTAAGATAGTGTCACCAGGCACGATATCCTAATTTGGCCCGGTTCGATAACAGTATGTTTTCTTAACAGTACTTAACAGTATGCTTAATTCCTATCAACTAGACTGTCCTGATCCCCAAGCAGCTAGCCCTGGTTCTGCCTGCCGGGATGAAGGGTGGTTCTGGGCCCAGTTCGAAGCTGCTAGAAAGATGCCCTTGGATCACAGATGGGGCTCTAACTTTGGGCACAAAAGGCCAGCTGCTCCGGAAGCAAAACTTCATTTTACTCTGTCCATTCATTCACTCTAGGACATGCTCCTCCTGATGAAAGGAGAGGAGATGTAGAAACCAATTAACAGACCATTTGGAAGATAGAGATCACAAATGAAACTCTTTGAATGCCAGAGTATTCCCTGCTGCTTTCAGGGCAATTGCTCAAGTTAGAACCTCTGCTCCCCACCCCCCTCCCCGCTGTGGTCATCTGCTGGCTTTGTCACTCGGATTTGAACAACGGGGTGGGGGCGGGGGCAGTGGAGTGATCAGATCTGATCTCAGGTTTGGAGACTGAAGCAAAGGTCACTGTGACACCCAACCAGAGGGTGGGAAATAGAGCAGCTGTCCCCTCTAGAACCCTCTGAAAGGGTCCATGAATTCCCTGAGCTCAAAGACACTTTAGGGGAAAAGACCTGTTGACAGTCCAGCCTGGAAAACCTGGGAGGGCCTGGATGCTCTCCTGGGGCTTTGTTACTACTGCCTGCACATCAGGAGCAGGTGACAGGGACGGCCTCGTAAGTGCTCAGCCATGGATTCCCAATTCACCGACAGAGCTGACTTGCAGGCTAAACTCCTTCCATGGGAGCACACCCCTGGGCGCTGGTCACATCCTCTGATCTCTATGCCAATGACTGCTTGTCAGCTCTTTTTAGTATTCTTCTAAATCAAAATGAATCAATCAGCTAATATTTACCGAGTGCCTACCATGTACCCAGTGCTGAGAATCCAAAACTGATGCTGAAGATATTCAAAGATCTTTATATTCAGGGGCGCCTGGGTGGCTCAGTCGGTTAAGCGTCCGACTTTGGCTCAGGTCATGATCTCACGGTTTGTGAGTTTGAGCCCCATGTCGGGCTCTGTGCTGACAGCTCGGAGCCTGGAGCCTGCTTTGGATTCCGTGTCTCCCTCTCTTTCTGCCTCTCCCCAGCTTGTGCGCTCTCTCTCTCTCTCTCTCTCTCTCTCTCTCTCTCTCTCATGATGTAAAAATCAAGTGCCACTTTACGCAGACAACATAATCCCCAAGGCTGGGAGACATGACAGATCACAATTTTTTTTTTTTAACATTTGTTTCTCCCTTTCTTTTTGATATATCTCCTTTCCTGAGCCCTGCTGGTTTCAATATCCACACAGATGACTCTTCCAGGACTCTTTGGCATATTGTGACTAAAGCTTCTCTCCCCACTGCCTTTCCTCCGCCCTACATCAGCCACTCTCCCACGGCCGCAGCCTAGACCTTGTCATCACCAACAATGGCACCCCTCCCCAATGTCCATTTCAATCCTTCTGCTGTGCTTCCGCATCCCTACCCATCCCCAAAGATGTTTCTAGCACCCTCCTTCTTGTATTGCAGTCTCTACCCTGACCCATTACAGCCTTCCACACAAGTCCCCCAAGTAGTACCGTTCTATTCACCCAGCCCGGATTCCAGGCACCATGGTTTTACACATTCCCTCTGCTCTCTTTAACTCTTTTCCCTTCGTCCCCCTTGGATGGCGAAGTCTGAGCCAGGTTAACCCACCTCCTGGCAACCCCATGCCTACTTCTGGTCAGGTGAACTTGGGATGGAGAAAAAAAACCACATCCATCTAATCTGATGACAGGTAAACCTTAAGTCTGGGTAGAAATAAAATAAAGTTGTCACTGAAAAAACCCCACAGCCCTGGAAAGTATTTGTTATAAAAGACCTAGGCTTAAGAGCCTGGGATTGAAAACACAAACCTGACGTTACCTCTGGATTACTCGGCCAGCAGAATACATGGCAATGTACAAGTATGGAGACATGTCCAAAGGTTTGAAAAGAAGACAGCATTTGCCAGCTCGTCTTTGCTACTTTAATCTCAGCACCGCTAGGGAACCCGGAGGTAGCTTCAAGAACGGTTTACTCTAAGTGTGGTCTCTTGGTCTGGTTCTTTCCACAGAACATACTCAATTGCATGGAGGTAAGATACATATGAGATGGGTTTCCTTTTTCCGGTCATTGCTAGAGTAACAGAAAGCAAGGGTTGAAAGGGATCATCATAACGATCTATTTCCATGACTACCAAACATGGATATATATACAACCACTTGGGAGGCTTCCAAAAGTTAGAGTCCTAGACTCTAGCCCGGACCTTAACTGAGAACATTATGGGTTAGCTCCCCAGCTCTGTGGACCCAGCTCAGGGTTCTGGACTCCAACACCTGCTCTCCCTCAAAGCTTTTACCAAAACGTCTTTTTTTCCCCCCAAAATATTTTGATTTGATCTTGACAAGGGAAGAAAGGGTAGGCCAACCAAAGCGAAAAACCCAAAGCAACTCTGTTCCTATCACGGACAAGCCCAGAACAGCATATTAGTGTTAACAACGGGAATGCTATGTGAGCCGCATGGTGGGGAGAGGCAGGGAACGTGAGCCTATAGGTGGCCTTTGTGAGAAAAAGCAAAAGCACCCCTGCAAGGGGGCGACTGGGAGAAAGGTGCCACCTCCCCTGGCTGATGCGGCCCCCGGGCAGGGCACACAGAGCCCTGGGTACAGCCTGATATCAGCCCTCACCTAGGGTCACCAACTGGTCTGCTTTGGCCAAGGGGAGGCATTTCCTGGATGGCAGGCTTCATGTGCTAAAACCAGGAAAGTCCAAAGCAGGCTGGTTGGTCACTGTGCCCTTTCCCAGCACCTGTCTGCTCCCACCTTCCTGCGCAGACGTAGGAGGCTATCCAGCCGAAGTATCACCAGGAATTCACACTTGACAGCAATTGCAGCCTCCTTTACCAGGTTAACTGTGCAAAAGGGGACCATTCCTGGGCTTTCCAGGGACACCAGCACTCAGTTCCAAAGCATAGAGCCTTTACCTTCCCCTTTGCCGTAGGAGGAGCTGGCGGTCCAGGACTTGGCCTCCACATATCCCAACTCCCGGCAGACGACATGGGCCGCGTGGATGGAGAAGTCGTCGTCACACACGGTGCCCCACTGGCCATTGTAGTACACCTCCACCCGCCCCTCGCTGTGCTTCCTCTTCTGGCCTGCCAGGCGTAGCTGGATCTTGGCGACGTCCGAGGGCACCTGAGGCCGGTGGTACTCGGGGGCCGGCTGCTGGAAGTACTCAGGGTAGTGCGGCCAGTTCTCGTATTGCGCCAGGCTCAGGGACAGGAGCAGCGAGAGCACGGCCAGACAGCTGGCAAGGCGCCAGACTCCGCGCCTCTCCATCCCTGTCCTCTGGCTGGAGGACCTGACCGAGGGGGTGCTGGGTGGTGAGGGGCGGCAGGCAGGAGTGTCCTGGAAGACAGGGAGGAATGCAGGTTATAGGGATCTACAGAACGTCCAGCGAGTTCCTTACTCCTTTGCTTAGTATTTGAAGCTCTTGACATTCTGGACCTCGACCCCTGTCTTCTCCCACCTTACACTTCAGCCGACAGGTCTGTGAATTCTCACCTGTTCTGCTCATCTACCATTCCAATATCTTTGAAATGTGTGTGTGTGAGTGTGTGTGTGCGCATGTGTGTGTGTGTGTGTGTGTGTGTGTGTGTGTGTGTGTGTTTTCAGTAGGGTTCGAACAGGCACATTAAACTTAATTTTGAGCAGAGTTTTAAAAAAAGACCATCTCAGACACGAGCTCTGAGCAGAACTCAGAGGAACAAACAAAAGATAACATAGTGCTCTGGGCTGGTAATAGAGGCAAGACCCTTCTGGCTCCAGCTTGAGGGGTTGGGAAGGGAGTGACAGGACCAGAGAGCATGGCCAAGCTGAGCGGGTCGCCTGTTTGGAGCTGTGGCTTCAGTGAAGGGTCTTAGAGCCAAAGCACAGCAACAGGAGCAGGAAGAATAAAAATGCCTGACCTTGGGGCGCCTGGGTGGCGCAGTCGGTTAAGCGTCCGACTTCAGCCAGGTCACGATCTTCGCTGATCTGTGAGTTCGAGCCCGCGCCAGACTCCTGAATTTGATGGCTCAGAGCCTGGAGCCTGTTCGATTCTGTGTCTCCCTCTCTCTGCCCCTCCCGTTCATGCTCTGTCTCTCTCTCTGTCCCAAAATAAATAGCGTTGAAAAAAAAAATTAAAAAAAAAATGCCTGACCTTGACCTCACTCTCTTCTGTCTTCTGCTCTCTTTCCAGTGTCTCCTAGTGGGCAAGCTCACCCCTGGCAGGATGAGGAGGCCAAGCCCCGGGGGGGGGGGGGTGCAGTCTGTATGGGTTGGTCTCCTGGGGCAGAGGGGATGGTGGGGAGAGAAGATAGCAGTAGACAGGGCAATCAGAGGGCACCCAGCACACTCTTCCTCTTTCCCCCCACCTCTGTACAGCTCGTTCCCCAGGGCCCAGACCAGTTCCCGCCTCCTTTATGCAACATCCCTACTGAAGTGGTCTCTGTGGCTCTCTCCTTCCAAGGTGGGCTCATTATCTAGACATTCTTCTCAACCTTTCCAGACACTTCCATGTCCCCAGGTAGGTTACAAACTTCTCGAGGGCAGGAATTGTAGCTCGTTCTTCTTTGGTTCCTCCAGAGTAAACATTACAGGTTCATGGACACGTTTATTGCATGAGAGGGTGATCTGGTTCCAGGGACTGAGCCACTGGTGAGGCATGGCGCTTAAGCGCACTGCATGGGGTGGGGGTGGGGGGGGGGGGCCCTGGGTGTGTTTTCCGGGTGTTCCTGTGTGCGATGTCCTCCCTCCTTCGGGACGTTAGCTCAGCTGGACGGAAATGGCCTCTTCCAGGTACAGAGAACACCAGGAGAAACACCAGCATAACATGGGCTGTTCTCTCTGCACATCCATCTGAGCCTTCCTATGGCTCTGCTCTCAGGCTCCGGGCCTTCAGACACCGGCACGCTGCCCACCCACACCTCACATCTCATTACAGCTCATACTCTGGACCGCAGTCCGGCAAGGCTGCTGAGCGAGGGGGTCAGGAGCAAAGTCTCCTTAAACACCCCTCACGCAGGGCCTGTCCTTAGCTGAGCTATGGTTTCTGCAAGCAGAAGCCTCAGGCAGCAGTCCTGATGCCAGTGACGTCCTGGTGACAGGTCCGTCCTTTTGCATGGTTTCTCTCCCTGAGGGGTGCTGGGGGGCCGAGTCTAGTCTGCTCTTAGCACAGAGGGGAGGCAGACAGGAGAGGGCTGAGCGGCCCGTGATCAGGTGAGGGAAGACTGGACAGCAGAGGAGCGGGGAGCACAGACTCTAGAGCCAGATGATTTGCATTTGAATCCTCACTCTGACACCTACCAGCTGTGCAGCCTCGGGCAAATACTTAACTTCTCTGTGCCTCTCTGTGCTTCCTACCTATAAAATGGTGATAATTCTATGTAGCTCACAGAAATGTTACGGAGATTGAATGAGTGGCACATACTGTAAGTGCGGCAGGAGCATTTGCTAAATAAAAAATGTAAATTCTCACAATTGTGGTCACCGTAGCCCAGTGGCGCCTACCTCTAAGAATCCTACAGGGAGGGCTATAGCAAGAGATAACCACGTAGATCATGTGTCTCAGTGCTTCCATAATTCAGAGAAAGGAATCACTAGCTTAAAAGGACTGCAGGTATGTTTCACAGGAGAGGAAGTAGTCTTGGAATATGGGGCCCCAGAAGGAAAACCAGGACTAGTACGTGGAAGCCAGAAGTATAATACTTTCTATTTTAATCAGGTACAGAGGGTTAGGCTAATTGTGTTCAGTTCATGGCACGTCACCATCAAGGAAGGACCAGATAACTGCCCAGAGCTGCTCAGGGGGGATGATCTAACTTGGAGAGGCAGCTCCACGTCTGCCGGGAGGGCCAGGCAGTGCCCAGTGCCCCGTAGCGGGTGCGGGGCCACTGTTAGGGAGACAAGCTAGTTCGGGTTACACTGGAGATCCATTCGCCATCATCCTGTGAGTCACAAACAAGGTCGGAAAGTCGCAGGGGTTCCTGCAGTGGCCCCCTTCAGACCACTGCCAGCAACGTGGCTCTGAAGGGAAGCATCCTCGCCTCCTGTGCCCCGGCCACGCTTCGTTCCCATTGTTGCACAATTGCATCCACAAGCTCGACTGAGCCTCGCTACAACCGTGGGGCGTGGTGAGGGAGGCAGGGATTATGATTCTATTACGAGGGAGAAAATCAAGAACGAGGGAGGACTGAGGACTTTATCAGAGTTGCCCCTTCGGGCAGGCAAAGCCAGAACTAGCCACTCCCAAGCTACCAAGACATCAACGATCCACCAGCACATGTAAGAAATGCCCAAATTCTGCCTGCCCCGTAGAAGCCGCACATAGCAGCTACAATCGGCACATAGCTACACTCTTGGCTTCAGTTCCAACTACCCCTCTCTCCCTGCCCTCGCTCCAGACTTTCACATGTCACCTGTCCGATCACAGCAGCCTATACTTGGTTTAAGTTTTACACATCACTGTGTCCCCATCCTCTCTCGCTCCCCTTCCCTCCAAAGAGTATGTGTCACAGCCCCTTCCATTCTTCAAGGGAACCTTCCCAGATGCCCCTGTGGGGGCCAAGGGCAGGCCACTCCAAGATGGGCCACCTTAGCATGAAGATTATTTTTGAGTTCAAAGCAATCAAAACCTAGCAGATTCAGGAAAAGCTCTTTCCCTCCCCTTTAACTGCCTAAAAAATATTTAGATGGAGAACCTGCTCCAGGAAGAGAGCTGTCACCATAGAGAACTACATTATGATGTGAACCAGGTGTGGTAGACAGGGAGGAACCTAGCAAGGCCTGTTTGATCAAAGTCCTGTGTGTCCCATTGTTTCTGAGTTGGCCTGAGTGCT